CCGTTAACTAGGATTACTCTCTCTCTTTCTTAGCTAGGTAGCGCTTAGCTAGCCTAAACTATAAGAACTAGCTAGTAGATAGTAGCTAGTAGATTAGTATATACACGCTCTTTCCTCTCTTTGTTACTACTATAAAGTCGTAGAACGTCTATAGCGCCCTTAGGTAGAGTACTTACTATAAGACCTACTACTATTAGTTAAGCTACTAGTAGTTAAGGACTAGGTAAGCTACTGTCTCTAAGGCCTTACTATAAGGGTACTAGAGAGTCGCTACCTCTAGTACTTTACGTTTAAAAAGAAAGGCCTAGAGCCTAACCTTACTAGTATAGATTTACGTTAAAAGTAAGCTCTTATACTTATAAAAGAGTAAGTACTTCTTAAGGGTATTTACTAAAGGAACAGGTAGCGCGGCTAGGGTAGTACTCTAGTAGTACGCTAGTAAACTATTATATTAGGTCTATCGTGTCCTTTACCTCTCTTATAAGGTCTCTTTTAGTAAGGAGTCCTTATACTAGTCTTTTACTTATACAGCTTAGCCTACCTTATACTTAAGTAACGTATAAGGTAGCGCTATAATAGCGTTATAGTAGCGTCTCTAGTATTATTAAAGGCAGGTCACTACCTTATTATAGATAGACTATATAAGTTCGTTCTTACTTATATATTTAAGACGTTATTTAAAGTCTACGACTTACTTATTAAGGTAGAGGTTAAGTAAAGGTATAGCTATTTTAGACTTAAGAAACTAAACAAGAGTTACTTAGTACGCCCTTATAACAACGTAAAGGTACTATAACTACTTTATAGTAAGGTTCTTTATAATCTCCTTAGCTTATTACTTAAAGGGGTAGTACTAGACCTTTACACTATATACTATAACGCTCTAGATTACCTTTATATAGATCTTTCTTACGCGTAGTAGGCTATATCCTTACGCGGATATAGTAAGCCTTATAAGCGTAAACTACTAAGTAGTAAACTTTTGTTTAATAGCGTTAAGGTAGCCCTTTTACCTAAGCTTCTAATCTATCTAAACTCTTAGAAAGTAGGCCTCTTAGACTAAGGGTATAACCTAGCTATTAAGGTAAACAAGCGTTATTAGTATAGTATAAGTATAAGTAAGGTAAAGAAGCTTGCTCTTTTTAGGGGCGAACTCTATTTCTCTTATTTGTACCTACTAGCTATAGGTCTATTACGCCCCTTTAAGGTACTAGTGTGTCTTAGTTATGTCTTTACTAAATACTAAAAGGTTAAGGTCGTTAGTAAACCTTACTATAATAAGGCTTACGTATCTTTATAGTAGCGTGTACAAGCTAGTAGTATAGAGAAGAAAGAGGATAAGAAAGAAGGGCGAGCCTTATAGTACTTTTATAGTAACCTCTTAAGGTAGCGCTACCTTCTTATTAAAGAAGAGGCTAGCTGTCTAATTAGTAAAAAAGCTATATACCTACTATATAGCCTATATAAGGAACCTTAGGTATTAGAGAGTATAGAGAAGGTATATATAGTTTACTATATTAAAGGCGCCTTTAATGTCTAGTTAGAGAAAGGACACTACGGCCTTATAGCTTTATACTATATATATAGTGTTGACTACTATTTTAACTATAAGGTCTATTAAGCGTTATAGCCGGTTTCTTATTTACGTCTTTAAGAAGAGCCCTTATAACTTTATAGTATTAGTAAAGCGCCGGCTAATTACTAACTTAATTACTTTACTTATTACACTTAAAAGTAATATTAGCCTATAGGCCCTAGCGGTTTATTATTGTTTAAGGGTCTTTCTAGGCTTATATAGTACTACTACCTTTACTACTTTAAACTATACTAGGACGTGCCTTAGCTAGAGGCTTATAGTTACTACTACTATAAAGAGCTTAGCTAAGGGGCGCCTGTATACCTTAAGAAAGCTAGTAAGTAACAGGTTAGGTCTTAGCGCTTTTTAGGTACCTGTCTTTTAGAGAACGTTAGTAATATCTGTCTTTATTATAGTGTTGTTAATAGTAAACTACTAGTACTACTTGTCCTAGAGGTCTAAAACAACGTTACTAAGATTAGCTACTAATTCTAGAAAGAACTACTAGCCTAACACTATTACTTTGTTATAGTAGCTTATAGCTAGTGCCTCTTTATTAGCGCCTTAAAAAAGAGAAAGTAAGGCCGGTTTTAAGGACATATAGCTATAAAGCCTAGCTTACCTTTTAAGACTCTAGAGTTTTTATTAGTCTTTTAAGGTAGTAGTAAGGGCGCTACACTAGCTTCTAGTCTTTATATCTTAGATCGTCTAGAGTTAGTAAGTACTAGCCTACTAGAGGTCACGCTAGTAAAGTTTAGTTAGGGTAGTAGTATATTAATAGCGCGCTACTTACGTTTTCTAGATAGCCTTAAAGACCTTACTACTTTACTAGGGTTTAGTACGCCCTTAGCTAACCTTCTTTCTTAGAGTAGATAAGTCTATAATATATATAAGCTAGGAGGTAAGTAAGTTAACTACCTTATTAACCTTATAAAGTATGTTTAGCGGCTTAGAGAAGAGGTAAAGCCTCTTAGCCTTAATCGCTACTAGCTCTCGGTCTATTAAGGTCTAGCTCTACCCTAGTACCTTTATAGCTCTCTTATAGTAATCTCTTACTTAGGTAATAACCTTAATTAGCTAGGCGTAGTAGTTAGATCCCTTATACCTTAGGTTACCTTAGTAGGTATACTAGAGCGTTACTATAGCCTACGTGTAATTAATCGTTAAGTCTTGTTTGTCGTGTCTCTTTTAGGTTAGCTCCTCTTATAGTATACGTAGCGAGAGCTACTACCTACAGGCTAGACAAAAAAGGGTCTCTAATTTAAGGGTAGTCTTACTAGCTTTGATCTAGAGTAGGTAGTAAAGGTTTATGTTACCTATAATAATCTATAGCCCCTCTAGGTCCTTTCTAGTAAGCCGCTAGAGAGGGCTAGTCTAGCCTAGGGAGTTAGGAATTAGCGAGTATATTAACTAGATAGTAATACCTTATAGAGTAACGTAATACTAGTCGACACTAGTCTCTACTACTTAGGTAAGAGGTAGGTACTACTTATAAACGTAGATAACTATACGGCCTTTACCCTTATAGACCTACTAGTACTTTACTTATACTAGGTAGTAGACTATCCTTATCTGTTTATTATACTATAGCTTCTAGATTACTATAACGTTAGCTTTATAGCTATTATAAAGCGCTATTAAGGTAAGGCTATTCTTTCTTATAGTGTTCTAGTATACTATTATTAATTTTATTACTAAGAGTCCGGGATCTACAAGTCTTACGTTATAAAGGGGTCGCTAGACCCTTAGTTAGTTCCTTAGCTTAATATCTCTATAATATTATAGCTCTTAACTATTACTATGTCTAGTACCCTAATAAAAAGGCGCCTACGCCTTACTAGAGTCCTTACTATAGGCTTCTTATTATTACTTGTTTATAGTCTCTTAGGTACTATAACCTAGTAGCTATTATTACTATCTTATAAAGACGCTAGTATAACGCTAGGTACTTGGCTAGTAAAGCTACTCTTTAATACCTTAAACTGTCTAGGTCTCTACTAATATATAGTATATGTCTACTCCTTTACCTTAAGGGCCTTAAGACACTAATAGTCTTATACTACGTATAGTCTACTATAGTTAACATATCTTTTTTTACTATTAAGTTAAGGGTACTTTTCTTTACCTTAAGGGTACGCTACTCTTATATAGTAACTATACTAGGCCTAGTTCTTATAGAACCGCTTAATATAGCTAAACTAGTAGTACTAGAAGTATCTTTAGATTTATAGGTTAGCTAAATACAGCTTGTAGTTAAAGATCTAGGCTTACTAGATTAGCCCTTATTTATATAAGCGTAACGTTACGTTAGTACTCTAGAGGTATAGTACTATTATTATAAACTTTACTATAAAGGCCTTAATAGGCTTGACTTTAACCTTTATAATATACGGCACGTAGGCTTAGATCTTTACTAGTAACACTCTTAATTCTACCTATATAACCTAGTCTACTAGTAGGCCCTTTACGATTACTATAAACTTACTCTTATAGAGCTAAGCTATAGGCCTAAACGCCCTTTATACCTAGCCTTAATCCTAGATTATAGTCTTTAGTATAGCCTCCTTAAAGGTAAGGATAGTGTCGCTACTAAAAAGCTAGTAGGTCGCTACTACTTTAGCGCCCTTAATTACTATATTAGCTACTATTACTACTTTAATAGTACTATAACGTACTAGGTCTTCTATCTGTCTATCTACTCTAATCCTTAGCTCTTTAATCTGTCTCTCTAGTATTACTTGTACTCTTATTAGACACTAGCCTACTACTAATACGTACGTAGCCTAAGGGGCTACTATAGCTATTAGCCTTTAGAAGGCCTCTTTTAACATCGTTCTTAATTACCTAATCGTTACTAGGTCGTCGTTAGAAGGGGTCTTAGGGGTATACAAGAGGGTCTTTATATTCGCTACCTTTAGCTCTACTACTACTATCGTTATTATAATAAGGTCGTAAAAGAGGCGTAACGCCTTATCTTCCTTACTTAGTATTACGTAGGCCTTAATTTGTTATAAGATTAACTTTGTTTTATCGTCTATACTACTCTTACTACTTGCCGGCTCTTTACTACAGCTTTTTATTAAGGAATAAGAGTATTAGCTCCTTCTTATAAGTAAGTAGTACTAGCTTTGTTTAAGTCTAGCACACCTACTATCTGTTACTATAGGCTTACCTATAGTCTACTAGTACTCTAAGGAGTATCTAAGGGTACTAATTTTGATTCTATTGTTTGTTTTTAAGTTTTTAGGGCAGTTAAGGGCGTAGGCGACTGTCGTAAAGTTTTTGTTATATAGGTTTACTTATATACTTATTAACTTAAACACGCCTAGATCTATACTATTTAATGTCTGTACTATTATACTATCTTATAAACCCTTTTACTAACTATATAAGTACTATAAAATACGCGCTATAATACTTATAAGGTATGCCTAACTTAAGAATTATATATAAGGCTAGTAAAAGAGTATTAGAGGGATTATATAGATATAGTAATTTAGACTATACTAGTTATATAGAAACACAAAGATTAACTATTAGATATCTATTTAACTACTATAGTAGCGCGATATCTTTTAGATTAAAGTACTTATAAGTAGTAGTACTCTTCTCTATAAAAACAGAGTACTATAGGCTCTCTAACGCTATAAGAGAAGCCGCCTGGCTAAGGTAGCTATTCTACAAGTTAAGTATTAACTCTAAAGACACTAAAACGATCTAAATATATAGTAATAACTAAAGATCCTTAGCGCTAACAGATAACCTAGTTATCTACTAGAGAACTAAGCATATTAACGTATAGTACTACTATATTTAAGAGTAAGTTACGCTAGGCAAAATAGAGGTTTAGTTTAAGCGTATAGAGGATATAGTAGCGGATAGGCTTACTAAAGCTCTAAAAGGACTTAAACACACTAAGTTCTTAAAGCTGTTAAATCTGTATACAGTAGCTATCCTAATTACCTAATTAGGACGATTCCTTGTTTTTATTTCCCTTTTTAACATCTTACTCGGCAGAACGGCAGGCGGTGTAAAGTTCAGGCTGGATGAATAGATAGGACGTTATAAGCGTAGATTTAAGGGTGTGTTATAAGAAACCACTAGCCTTATTACGTAGGGTTAGTAGTCACGGGACTAGGATGCTCCGGAGGCCCTAGTCTAACCTAATCGGGGTTAGCAACCCGCTAAAAAGTTAGTTGTTTACTATTACTATACAGGTACTCTATATAATTACTTTACTTAGTTAATTTAATTTAATAGTTCCTGTAATAGATCGATTATCCCGTGCAACATTAACTATAAAGGCTTTTAACTAGATCCTTATATCCTTAAATAAACCTAACTTACTAAAAAGAGCTAACTAAGTCCTAAATTCTAATTCTAAGAAGCCTAAACCTCTTATTACAAACGCGTACTTACTTAATAAAGTCTAGTACTAGTATAACGTTAGCGCTTACGTAATAACGTTTACGCTAGATAGCTCTTTCTTTATAGCCTACCTTAATACTAGATCTCTTATTACTCTAGTATCTAAGTAGATACTATAAAAACATTTCCTTAATACTCTTTTAGTATAATCCTAGTAACTAGTCTAACTTTTTAGTATTAAGGACAGTCTAATTACTAGTAGTTTTGTAACTATTATAATATCCTTTTAAATAACTAAAAACACTCTTTATAGTTTTACTACTAAAGCTTATATAGTTAACTAACTAAGATATAGTTTATTACTAGGTAACGCCTTTCTTAAGGTAAATTAACTAGATGTTGTCTAGGTAAAGGCCTCTTAAGATTTTAACTATCTTTAGTATAAGGATAAATAGTTCTAAATCTTAGTAACAGCCCTTTTAGTAAAGACCTTACGCGCTCTAATTTATGTTCTAGAATTAGTAGTAATCTGTCTTAGCTAAGGACAGAACGTTAAGGTACACTATTACTACTTAACACTATAGTTAGACAGCTACTATATTAAGCCTTACGTATAGGTAGACCTAGCTTATAATACCTTTAGCTCTCTTATTAATAAGGTCGTTAATAGTTAAGTATAACTATTACTCTATACTAATTTTAAATAAACCCTAATATTACTATACACTAGACAGATTATAGGTATACTTAAAGAATGCCTAGTCTCTTTACCTAAACACTATAAAATATACCTTAGCCTAGCTAAGGTATTTAAAAGACTTTCTCTTACTAAAGAAAGGCCTAAAGGTACTTACTTAGATAGATACCTGTACTTAGTAGCGTAACTACAAACCTTTCTAGACCTAGACAAGGCTAATGTTTCTAACTACTAGAGTACAAAAAAGAAGTAAAAGGTCTTTAACGTAATCTAATAAAACGCTCTTTTGTTTTATAATAAACTAGGATGTTTTAATAATAAGATTAAGATACTAGTTTCTTTTAAGGACGATACTAGTCTTAATAACCTAAAGTAGACTATATATACTATGTTAATAAAAGACAGACAAGTAATAAACAAGATCCTTAACCTATTAAAAGAGATTAGCGTTATAAAGGACGTTCTCTTAAAGAAACCGTCTCTTATATTATTCTTAGCGTTTATTATATAAAAAGACAGAAAGCCTTAAGTAGTAGTCGACTTACGTTAAGTAAATACTAAACTATACCTAGATACCTATCCCTTACCTAAATAAGATAATATCTTAATAGTAATAAATAGTAGTAAGGTATTTTTTGTTTTAGACATAACAAAGTCTTTCTTTTAGTAGAAAATAAAGCCTAAAGATTACTAAAAGACTACGTTTATATTACTATACTATAGTTAAGAGTAACTTATAGTAAGTATAATAGGCCTCTCTAATTCTCTACTCTTTTTTTAGTATTATATAAAGAAACTCTTTAGTATATACTTATAAAAGTTTGTCCTTATATATATTAACGATATAATTGTTTTCTTAAAGGATATCAACTCTTATATTTAGTATCTATTAACTGTCTTATATATCTTATAGAACTCTAGCGCTATACTTTTCCTTACTAAGTACTTCTTTACTTAACTTAGTTTACGTACTTTAAGACATTTTGTTTTCTAGCTAGGCTTAAGTATAGTAAAGTAAAAGGTAAAAGTAGTCTAGGCCTTAGCGTTTTTAACTAACTTATAAGAGCTAGAACATAGCCTTAGATTTTTTAAGTACTACTATAAATTCGTTCCTTACTTTATAGTAGTTATAAGGCCTCTCTAGATACTAAAGACACGTGGTTTTAAATAGGTCTTATTTAATAAAAAGATCTATAAAGCGTATATAGTTAAGACTTAAGTAACTAATCTAGCCGAATTAAACCTACTAGACTCTCTAATAGCGTAGTATAAAGAGGCTTAGAAAATACTAAAGAAGAAACTCTATACTACTCTAACCCTTATGTTTCTAGATTTTAATTACTTGTTTACCTTTTATATTAATAGTAGTAAAAAAAGAGGATATAAAGTAGTACTATACTAAGAGGACTTAAAAGGAATTAAACGTCTAATTCTATACTTATCTAAAGAGCTTAGCCTAACTAAAGAAAATTACTAGCCTAGTAAACTAGAAACTAAGGCTTTAGTCTAGGCGTTAAAAAAGCTTTCTTAATACCTAGACTATAAAAAGGTAATAGTATATACTAACTACTCGTTACTTAAGGACGCCTTTAAGGATTAAGGCCTAGTTAAGAGTAAACGTTTACTTTACCTTACTAATTAATAGCTCTTTCTTTTAAAGTATTAAGACTAAATAAAGATTTAGTACTATCTAGGAAAGTAATATATAAACGCTAACACTTTCTCTTAAATACTAACAAAAGAACTAATAAAAGAACTACTAGCCCTACTTGTACTTATACTAATAAGGATTTAGATACTAGCTAAGTTAGACTCTAAGTAAGAATTAAACATATAGCTTTAGTACGTCTACCTAGTAAGAACGTATAGAATAATAATAGTACTACTATCTATAATAAATAGTCTAGTCTTAGACTATCTTACTTTAAATATTGTCTTTACTCTAAATATTGTTTTAGATCTACTTATTCTAGATACTACTATTCTAGTTCTAGGTATTCTAAACGTTTTAAACGTCCTTATAAATTAAAGCGCTTTATACCTAGACATTTTAAATAAGCCTAATAGTAGTTTTCTAGTTCTAGACAACGTCCTTATAGACGTCTTAGCCCTTATACCTTTATTAAATATAGCTCTTATAAACAATAAACTTACGTCTATAAGTAATATAACGTCTATAGATAACAAGTCTTTTTATACCTTATATATATACTTAACTATACTTAAAGCGATAGTCTATTAACTACTATTAGATAAATCTTTAAGTAAAATTTACGCCTTACTAGTTAAGCTTTACTATAATACTAAAAGAGAGTTTAATAGGCCTAAGACGATTTTCTAGTCCTTTTGTTATAACCTTAAGTTAAAGTTGTTATTTTTTCTTAATAGTAATTAAGAACGCCTTTATATACTACTAAAATTATAACAAAAGGTACTTAAGGCTATATATAATAACTATACTTATGTTAGTACTAACTAGATATATTACTACTTATGTTAACACGTGTTTTTTTCTAAAATAAGAAAGTAAGTACTAGAATACGTTACTAACTACTTAACCTATTAAAGAGCTAAACTAAAACGTATATACTTATAAGAAGACCTATATCTAGTTATATATCTAGACTAACTACTATTAGTACTATACTTTAATTTTGTTAATAGTCTCTTTTTGTTTACTTAAGGTTATAATAAGCTACTAACGATTATATATAAATTAATAAAATACATTAAGTCTATCTTAGAAAAAGAGACCTAGACTATAAAGGACTAGATAGATACTTACTTTACTTAAGTTTATAAGGACTAAGGCTTTCTTAACTAAATTATCTTAGATAAAGACTCTAAATTCCTGTTCTAGTTCTAAGGATAGGTATTCTAACTAGTATATATTAAGCTTACTTTTACTACTACTTATTATTCTACTATAGATAGATAATTAGAACAGACAAACTAGATACTTATATATACCTTACGCTATGTACTAAGTAGTAAATACAACTAATTACCTTAAGAAGACTTATTACTATTCGTTTAAATTATACTAAATACGTTAATAAATGTATTTACTAGTAAAACTCTATACTAGCTTTTATATAAAAAGAAAGTAAAAGTAGAGTTTAAAAGAACCTCTAATATAAACAAAAAAGACGGTTAGATCTAGTAGTGTATTAACTTACGTAATAAGACTATAGATATAGTAAAGCTTACCTAAACTTATATAAAAATATATTATAATAAACATTATTCTATACTATACTTTAGTAAATATATATATTATTATTATTATTGTTCTTACTACCTATGCCTAATACATACAGAACCTTTATACTATATAAATCACGTAGTAAAACCGTACTAAAGCCGGGTAAAAACCTACGTACTACTTCTTATAAATACTTTATTATAGTACTACTAGGGCACTAAGACTTTATTACTACTCTACTAGAACTTAACCTTCTAGCCTAGTAATACTAAATATACTAATAAGACACTAGTAAGATACTAGAAAGACGCTAGCTATTAACTAG